AGTGCTCCTTGACTCATATGCCTCTTTTATAGGATCATATCGAACTTTACTTATGTTGCTCCTCTTAATTCAAGTTGCTGCTCTTATGGTCGTTCAGTGACTAACCATATTTTAAACATTTGGTGTGCTCGAAGAGAAATGAGTTGTATTCAATTGACATGGTTAATAGCAGAGATCTATCTTGTTTAGTAGTGATACATTGTTTAGACAGTCTTGAGGTTCTCTTTAGCTCTACCAGTCATTTGTGTTTTTTGTCTTCATATATGTGATTGTCATTTGAAGATAAATTCAGTTTGATTATGTACATATAATCAAGTTGATGTGGACTTTTTTCTTTATTGAGAATCAACAGGTACCAACACAGTGCAGGAAGACCTTGGTAAACTTGTGATGGCCCATTACGTTGAATGCTGTCCTGCTCCTGAACCTTTAGTTCCACCACCTGATGCTGATACAAAGAAGCGTGCCAAATCTTCAAAGGTTATTGCTGAACTCTGGAAAGTTTATTATGTGACAATCGTCATGCAACGATTGAACTTGCGGAGGAATAGATTATGCAATCTAACAAAGGGATGTGTTTTACAAAATCTGACTCTTAATTCATGATAATGTTTATAGATGACCATATTGTGTAGCAACTGGCACTGTTAAGTCCTACCAAGGTATTGGTATCTTGCCAGAAGAGAAACTTGAGCGATGGAATTTTCAGCAACAGTGTATATTTCTTAGCGAATTATACTGCAGGAATTTGGAGTTCTCCCCCTCACTATCTTAATGTATTAGTTATACCAATAACATGTAGATACCAGAATTCTGTCCTGGAAATGTAGTACTAAGTTTTATTCTTTATGGAAATGATAGGTAATGGTGGAGCCATTAACCCTAGAGCAGCGTGTTATGGCTGTAGCAATGCCTTCAGCGATGAGAAGATTCTCATTTGTACCTAACGCAGACCAAGTAGCGGATGACCAGCAAAATGTGAATCAGCCCCCGAGTAAAGATGTTGGGGAAAAGGTTGGTATTTTAGGTTGAGTTACTAAAGCTATCTGCATCGACCATTCAATCATTGGAGTTTGCTTTTGTAGCGCAAGCTTCATGATTTGGAGTCTGATACGGCACTTGAAGAAGAGGTCGAATGTAATTGGCGTGCAAATTTTGAGGAATTGCTTCGGCGTCTTCGGCACAAGGTTAGTTTTATTGTTTTGCACAGTCAAATTATACAAGCATGCATGTATTGTCTGGAATTTGGTCCTGTGTTTCTCTTGTTGTCGTTTGATCTGCGTAGCAAGATCAAGCTCCATGTCATTATTTTGGTGAATGGGAAACTGACTATTTCTTACCCTTTTCCATAGAACAGAGGATTTACCATCTCATGCTCCATGACACTTGATCTGTAGTGAATGATATATGTGTTAATGACAAACAAGAGAAGTAATAACCTTGCAGTTTAGTTCATGTTAGAGTAAAATGAACATGTGCAAGCTTTGAGAACTGAATAAATTAAGCCTTGTGAATCCTTTTATTTTAACCTTCATTTGGTTGGTAATTTCACAATAGCAAAATATCTTACCGTTTCCACTTGTTCTTGAGCATTTTAGTCTTGCTATCTTGCCTAAACTATCTTATACTGGTTTTTTATTATGCTGTAGACCTGTGTCGATACCATAAAAGTACGCTTCGATGATGCGGCTGCAACTGTTCTGAGTGCAATGCTTGAGGCATCTAGAGCTGAAGAGGACAAAGTAAAAACTGCTAACTCAGGTGAATTTTATTTCAAAAGTTTGGTTTGTTTCTGTTTGTACATTCAATTGCTACAGTTGTTTGCAGACAAGTATTTTATTATATACTCTTCCCTTGTTGATTCGTGATTCTGGTGGAGGACTTTTGCAGTGCCGTTATCGCTGAATACTATATATGAAGAAGTTGTGAAGAACGAAAAGAATCACAGTATGACTTTTGATCATGTCAGAACTTGCCTTGAAGAGTTGAGCTGTCCCCCAACCTTTGTAAAAACGGATGATGAATCATATAGTATAGGTACGTCCTGTTTGGCTTGATCACTTCTTTAGATTATTAATAGTCCATTCCTTAATTGTTTTCTTTTGAGTTTGATTATTCTTGATTGTTAGTGATGATTGACATGTTCATTGTGTAGATTTCACAAAAATCACTGAAGCAGCTCAGAGTGAAGAGGTGTGTTTTTCATTTGTTTGTTTGCCCCAGATGGTTGAAGTAGTGGTTGGGATACTGATGTTCACCAATATTTCTGACACTGCAGATTGAGTCCATTGTTTTGAAAAGATTTGGAGAGACCGCATATAAAATTTTCCGTTTACTGTTTAGGGCTGGCTGCCTCATGGAAACAGATAAGGTAATGATGAAGAGTCGGGAAATCTTCGACAATCATACTGTGGATTTACAGTTTTGGTTGAGACTTGTGACCGGTAGTAATTCCTTTCAATGAAGGTTCTGGACTTCCGTTTCATAAATTCGCTTCATTCCCTCATGTAGATTGCTGATAGGATATTTGCGGAGAAGAAGGAGACATCGAAAACGCTTTTCAAAATGTGGCAGGATGGATACCTGCTCATGGAGGTAACTCTCACCTTTTCCTCATACAAACTGGTTTCTGCACCACCCTAAAACGTATGACCAGTTGCTGGTCCTCTGCAAACATCTGAATATTCTTCCTCCCGCTATAAAATGCTATTGTATTTGCAGAAACTGGTTGTGGGCGGTACAACTACTGGTCCTAGCTACGGCGGCTCTTCCTACTTACTGTGGAAAGTAAATAAGCGGCTTCTTCGGGAGACTATCCTGGATGAGATGTTTCATGCCGCCTTGAATCTGAACCTACGTTTAGCTCATGAGATCGACCAAAATAAGGAGGTTAGTTAGTGTAATCCTGTTATAATGTTGTTGATTACAGGCCAAAAAGTGGCATTGTTTCATGACAATTCATGATCTCTCCATCGGTTGTTTGTTCTCAGGTCTTGAATCTGCCGCCGGATAAACGCGAGGGGCCTGACAAACAGAAGTTTGATAGACTGAGAAACGTCAGATTACTCATCCATTCCTCGCTGATGAAGCTCGACGACGCGATTATGCTCTTCCATGACTTCTAGTTTTATCCGTTCTTTCATCATAGACTGATTTCGTTACAGTTTTTAGGCCTTTTAACTTAACATATTCGAATCGCATCTTATGGTGTCATTATCTAGTTGCGGTATTTGACTAGACTCTCAGCTTGTTCCTTGATGTTCTCATGCGATAAATTTAGAGCTATCTTCTTTCATGGACGGACGGCAAGGGGAGAGTGTTTGGATTTTTCTATGTACAAGGGAAGCAGATGGGAAGGGCCAAGGGGAAGAGACATCATTTGGCAAAAATCAAACCGGGTTTTTTTTTTGGTTTCTTGATTACATAAACTAAAATGAATTAGCAGGTTAGTAGCGTTAAAGATTGAAGGAATGAAGGTGGGTAGTTTAGGAGAAGTGAAAACGTGTTACTTTCTTGTTTTTTTTCCCCCGGAGTGGTATAATTTGTTAATGGCGTCATTAACATAAAGCTCATTCGTTCAGTTTATATAGATATCGGTGACATAATTTGTATGTCATTTTACATAGAAAAATCATAGTCCATCGCTGCATAATTAGTAGTTACGATCGGAAATATGACTTATTGTCGACTAGAGTCATACTTACGATATTTTGTTATAGTCGTCCATGGACCATGATATTAGTTTGTCCATAGTCACATCTCATGTGCCAAGTGAGTGGTGCAACTAAGTGGCAGTTGTTCTTGTATTGATTTATAATTAATGATCCATTAATTTAGTATATTTTTCCCCGAAGTTGGTGTTCTTTTAATTAATAAAATACCGAACGTACCGTCCTCTTTCCTAGAAAATGAACTAATATGTACACATTCGTTGCACAATGTATAAGGAATCAATAATAAATTTGTTCTGAAGCTCTTCACAAATAATCTTTTATCGCAACATCATCAAAGTATTCCTCGAACAAAGGAACATTTGATATGATTTCTAATAAAAAAAACAGAGAATCACGAAAATGCAAACTTGTATTTGCCTAGTTTATTCGTTCAATTCAAATATTGTTAACAGGAAAATTCGGATCCGTTTTCCGAGGGGTTGAGAAACTATCAAATGCCCCCATTCAACATGTAATTTGGGATTGAAATGGTATATAGTTTTATTACCTATATTTCACCATCTCCCTTAACTTAAACTCATGAGAACTCAAGGAGCAATTGTTCGTTGAATAATGTTCAAAAAGCAAATTCTTACCCACCTTCCATTCTTAACGTAATAGTAAACATCAAACTAATCGCCGGCGGATCTTTTTTTTATTCCCTAACCGGGGAAACTTTTGGTAACTAAAACATCTTCTTAATCTCTCATTTCCTTTTCTTATTATTTCTCCATCTGTCATCTTCCAATTGATATCATTCTTTCCATAATCTGAAGCTCATCGAACAAAGCAAATATTTAAGCTTGACCCTTATCTTCAACATCAACAAGGTAATGACAAAGCTTCCTTCCCTAAACCTTTGGCTTCTTTTCAGAAATAAACTACCAAGTCTTCACTTAAATCATTAATACTATCCATAAGTATTCACTTCACGAAAATTTCATCCCACAAATCATATATTCCTTCCCCAATCTTTCATTTGCTTCTGTAATTAACCTCTAATTGATTACAATCAAGCACAAAGGATCTCCTCCTCCAATTACCCATTTCCTCGTGTAAGTATTCTTCACCTACATAAATAGCTCTCTAATCTTCGTTACTTCTCACTTCTTACCCATCATCCATCCCAGCAGAAAAAAAGAAGAAGCAGCTAACAATGTCGCCTTTCCTTCTCTTCATCTCTCTCGCTACATGCTTCATTTCGTTCCATTCGCAAGGTAATTTGATATACTGTTGAACGAACAAGTGTTTTTTCCTTCGTTATTTGTTAATTTGTTTAGCCGTTGAATTTATCTAGTTGGTGGAGCGACGAGCATCGGGATCAACTACGGCCTGTTGGGAGACAACCTCCCGTCGCCGGACAGATGCGTCAGCCTACTGAAGTCGAGGAACGTGAACCGGGTCCGGATCTTCGACCCGAACCAAGACGTGCTCACTGCGTTGGCCAACGCCGGCGGGATGGAGGTGGTTCTTGGGACGCTGAATAGCGATCTGGAGCAGCTGGCCAGCAACCCATCTTACGCGGCCCAGTGGGTTTCGGCCCATGTAGTCCCCTTTCGGGCCCGTTTGAAGTTCCGGTACATTACGGCGGGAAACGAGGTCATCCCAGGCCCACTGGCCCATCTCGTGCTCGACGCGATGAAGAATCTCGACTCTGCTCTGAAATCGGCACAAATCACCGACGTCCCCGTCAGCACGGCGATCAGCTTCGCGTCGATCGGGAAATCGTTTCCCCCGTCGGCGGGTGAATTCTCCGACGAATCGAAGCCGTACGTCGCTCCGGTGGTGGAATTCCTCGCCGCGAACGGTTACCCGCTCTTGGCCAACGTGTACCCTTACTTTGCCTACAAGAGCGACCCGACGAACATCGATCGGGAATACGCGTTGGGGAATTCGGCGGCCGGCGGCGGCGGGAAGAGGGTGGTCGACGGAAATTTGGAGTACCTGGGTTTGTTCGACGCGATGGTGGACACGATGTACGCTGCGGCGGAGAAGGTGAAGGGGGAGGCGGTGAAGGTTGTGGTGTCGGAGACAGGGTGGCCGAGCGCCGGAGCTGACGTGGCGACGGTGGATAACGCGAGGACGTATGTGAACAACGTGGCGGCGAAGGCCCGTTCCGGCGGCGGGACGCCGAGGCGGCTGGGGAGTGAAATCGAGACGTATTTGTTTGCTCTGTTCAATGAGGATTTGAAGGCGCAGGGGGAAGAGCAGAATTTCGGGCTGTACCGACCCGATTTGACGGAAGTTTACAAGGTCGATTTGAATTGATTCGTTCTAGTTTAGTTCAGGATAGGAACGGTACCGTATTGGTTTATCTTTAATTTTATTGTTTTGTGTTTTTTTTTTCTTTTTCTTTCTGCAATTAGTTTGAAGTTCTTTCACCCGTAGTTCTCTTGTTTCCCTTCTCAATCAAGATGTTCAAGTTATGGAGCTGCCTTTGCGTGAATCTTTAACCTGATTCAGGAATTTTATTTTCCTTCTTGAAAACAAGAACAAACGCCACTACCAACAATAAGTAAAACAACAAAATTCTCTGACTGATCAATGATAATGGAGGTGAATTTGCTATTATGAAAATATCTTTTTATTAGGGTAATCTGCTTGAACAAAATTAATCAAAAGTCGCAGATACAATATCCTGCTGTAACAGGTTAACCAGGAAGGTCAGTGGAATGTCTATCCATATCATTATCTCGTTTCATCGTGTATTCGTGTGAGCCAATGCATGCGTCACTTCGTTTGCCTCTCTGTTGATGTAGTGCCATGAAATGTCTCCCGTAGCGCTCAAAAGTCTTCTTGTACTTCGACATACTAACCTCGTTTCATCCTGTATAGTCTCCGAATATCCCAGCTTATGGGTTTACGTCATGCAGTCTGTCTCAAGGATGATGTCACGGAAATGGAACTGATAAGCAATCTGTGCCCCCATCTCTGCCGCGAGTGCTTCTGCTGCCTCCACCGACCACACCCCTTGTACCCTTTTCGCTGCTGCCATCAAGAAGGCTCCATTAGAGTCCCTGACCACCACCCCAAGTCCCGCTCCCCCACCATCCAGAATCCCCGCATCAGTACAGACAGAAATGCTGCCCACATGCAGTTTCCTCCATGGGATCTTCATCGGATGAGTTAGGGATCACTTCAGAACACTAGTACTTTTTATACTCCGTTAGCAGAAGTGTCGCTCGCATCGATCTTAATAATTGTAAAATCTTATTTTAGTTACTAAATACCTATCCAAATTGATAAGAAAATAAGTATCGACTATAGATGGAGTTGTTCTGTTGCTTTTCAACCGCCCTAGCTAGCCAACTCAGTTATTTCTATGTTTCTAACTAGCTTTTACTCGGCCCTTAGCCGAATGAGTTTCGCTTTATCATTAATATTGGTTAATTTATAATATATTTAAAATATTAACCAGATTCGTTGGTCGGATTAATTTTATTTTATTTTGATAAATCTCTTCATGTTTTTAAATAAGTTGAGGTTTATAAAATAGTTAATTCATTATTTATAAGTAATATTAGTGGTATTTGATGATTATGACATTACCAATAATGAGTTAATATGTACTTTTTTATCAAGTCCTCCTAGTTTACTGATGTGTATTTTTTTCATATCTTAGAAGAAATTTGTGGACTTTTTATTATCGGATATGAAGTTGGAGTTGAAAGAAAATATATGTCATCAAGAATGGTAGGAATTGAAGGTAAATAAAAAAATTAAGAGAATAACGAAAAGATTATGCCTAAAAATCTCAAATATGGAAGAACACGAAAACATAATACTTATTGTATAAATTATTAGAATTTAGTGTATATGCTTGATTGAATAATAAGTCGAGGCTGTTAAGTATTAAATACTAATTATAAAGCTTAAATTCTACACTATCAATACAATCTTTGACTTTTCATGTGGAGTTAATAGCATAAATTGTCAATCTATTATCCATTTTTCTCAAATCTATCTCTTTTATTTTTCACATCAAACATGCCCTTGTAATATATAGTATATACGTATTATCATATTAAATTTAATCTCTTTTATGGCTTATCTTCTCCATCTGCAACTCCCAATAATTAATAGCCACAATCTCATCCTCCATATGTCCCGCTTTCTCTTCTTTCGACCTAACAATAATTAAATGCAAAAACTTGTCCGTCACGAAAGAACCTTGAAGACCGACTTTTGAATTTCAACCACTCTCTGAAAAGTCCACAATTGTTGATCGATTTGACTCAATCATAAAAATTGGAACCCAAAATTTTTAGAATATATGGATTTAAGTATCAATGGTTGTCAACCTGGTTTAGCCCGTTGGCCCTGTCAATTAAGTGGGTTGAGAGTTAATGGTCTAATTGTTTTAGTCCGCTTTTGCCCGGATATATGAAAAAATTATTATATGTTCATATATCTATAAATTATATAAAATCTCATCTACATATGAATAATATTCTTCTTCGACCGGACTATCTACATTTGTTTCTCTATCTGCTATTTTCTGCTATCCTCCTTCGAGCTCCTAAAATGCACTCCAACAACATGTATTCGTCACGCGATAAAGGTCACACTCCTATGGTGGAGATGTGTGTCAAAGTTGAATTAATGAGTAACGACCAAGTGGAAATTGAGCATGGGGGTGTTTGCGAGGGAAGACAATATGTGATGAAATGCGAGTTCTTCCAGTAGTCTTTTTGTTAATATAATTGACTTGACGGATTTATCTTACCAATTTGCGGAGCGGGAGCTAGAGCAGGAGCTAGAATGGGAGCATAAGAGTGTATACTCTTCAAGAACTATAATTTGAGTGCGCCGAAAAAGGTTGAATATTATATTATTTTAATTAATATATTATTTAACTTACTAACATGTTTTGGTCAAAAAATTACATCAATGCAGTGGAAAAAAATAAAATTATATTAGTAGAATAATAGCTTTAAATAATCTGATTAGGCCCGAAAAAGAACCTTCAAAAGGTGAATAGAAACCCAAAAAAAGTTTACGATACTATTTTGTTTTATTTTTTTAAAAAAGGAAAAGAGAAATGAATGCATCGTTTATCCACACCACGCACTCAATTAGCTGTTAATAAAAGAGTCTATATCTTTTTCTTCCCTTTGATTCTTTGTTTCCTAAGCCGACTCTGGAGATCTCCTGTAGATGTACCAAAATGGAAAATTCTATGTCATCGACTATCTAACTAACCTCCTATCATTTTATTTAGCCCCCAGCCCGTGATTTGATGATCTATTTCACAGTACTCATTCACGAACTCGTAGTGTATCCTTTCATCTTTGCTCTCCAGATCTCTGATGGTGCGCATGTATTTCTTTCTCCCACGAAGAAGCAGGTCATCGTCTTCGAGCCAAAGCTGTTGATTTGGCTATAACTTGTTTCATTTTACTTTGTTTCTAGAAAGAAAAATCTCTCAAATAAGTGATTTGGCTATAACTTTCGATGCTTTGATTTTTAGTTTGAGCAAAAATTTATGCATTTTGGAAGTTTGTAGTTTCTGTAAAATAATTATGAAGGAACAATATAATTCCTACTTTCATTTTTTCGTTGTAGGAAATTTGATATGAGACAACAATTTTCTCATTTTAGTATTATATATTGTGTAGAGTGTATATAAAGACATGTCTTTTCCCTACAAATTCATTAGCATATTGAAAAAAGGTGAAATGAACCAACTTATTAAACTCCTAATGATTGTTGGATCCAATCATGCCAGAATATGAAAAGGTTTAAAATTTGATAGTTAGCCGAACTAAAATGTTCAAAGAACCAGTCCCATATAGTTTACACAAAGATATATGAATACGATTATGTAATAGTAGGTTTAAAAATTAATACTAATTTAAGAATTATACATCACTTTTACATATTCAACACTGCAATTTGATATGGAATATTCGAACTAATGATATTTGGGGCGCGGTTTTAAAGTTATCCTCTATTTATAAGATATATAGGAATTTAATTAAGTATTAAATTATAATTAAAATAAGGAATTTGGCCTTTGTTAGTCACCTAAAGTTTCAACTCAAATGCATGTTTCTTAATAATTTTTGCTTCATATCTGTATGAGATGAGGTCGACTGGCTCTATGACTATGCAGCTCGAGAAAAATGAAATTTGCTATTGCGGGATTGTGATAGCTTTTGAGATGGTTGGGTCGTGTATTGTAGGCTCTCAAATCTAAGTAAGAAGAAGAGACGATGGGATAGTCGAACATGGTTTGTGATATTTCATGTTGTAGGGATCTGTGATATGTAAAAGGATGATATGACAGTGTAGCTACGTATACGAATTGTTGAAAACATCCTCATTTTGAAGTGGCTGGTGCTCGAATCAGTTGGTTAAATCGGTTGGAGTTCCCACTAAGACAGACAAACTCGACTTTGACCCATCCTAAGTAGACAACCAACAAGGCCTTCGGCACCCGCTGAGATACTCAGATTTAGATAGAATTGGTTCGACCAACAGAGTCATACACGAATTGAAAATCATGGTTATGACTTTTGTCTGTGTTTGAAGATACATTAGTTCAAATCCCAATACTTGTCTATTTTCTATACAAAATAAAGATAAATAATGGCGAATACAAAAATGTCATTCATACTTTTTCTCTCGTTGTAGGAAATTTGAAATGAGATGACAATTTTATCGTGCTAATAGTATATATTGTGTAGAGTGTATATGTAGACATGTCCTAGCTCTACAAATTCATTTCAATACATAAAAAGATGAAATAAACCAATTTATTAAACTCAACCTCTTTTAATGATTGTTGGATCCATCATGTTGTCAGATTAGGAAGATATTTCAAACTTAATGGTTAACTGAGCTAAAAACGTTCAAATAACCCGTCCCCATATAGTTTGCTCAAAGATATGAATATGATTGCCTCATAGTAGTTCTATAAACTAATACTAATGTAGGAGTTCAACATCGCTTCTACACATTCGATATGTAATATTGAACCAATGATATTTGGTCTATGATTTTAAAGTTATCGTCTATTTATAAGATAAATAGAAATTTAAATAAAGTATTAAGTATAATTAAAATAATTAAATATGAAAATCGAAGTATCAAAACACCAATAAGTACCGAGCGAAGATTTAGCGACCTTAGCAAACCAAAAGTTCTGTGATTTTTTAATTTTAGCTTCAGGTATGTTTTTTTATTTAAAATAATACAACTAATCTATGTAGTATGATTGGTTAAGATTCTTATCATAGTTGAAAATGACCACGATTCAAATCCTA